AGTTTGTTCTCATTTCTTTCAGAACTCAAGATTGAGAAACTCTGGCTTGGAAATAAATTATTGACATCCATTTTAGGAACAGTACAATGTGTAGTAGAAATAAAATACATAAAGTTTCAGTGCCATGAGGCTAGAATCTCCAACTTGTTGATTTCTTTCAAGGTTCAAGTGTCATTCAAGCTCCGTATCAGTGGAGATATCTAAAACACTGTTGTGCCATTGCTATGTGATGTAATATATTTGGGCCAACCCTTTGCAGAGAGACTACCAAATTGTTATCCATGGTGTGTGAGTGGCCAGCAGTGATAACACCGCGATAGTTTCTTCTCATTTCAAACATGTATACTATACAAAAAGGATAGCTAAAATACATTAACTTTTTAGCTAAAACTGCTTTGGCTGTCATGGAAAAGTGAACAAAATGAGAGGACACCCTTTTGCAACTCCTCAGCACTGGAATACTTTCCCATTTCTCAGTGATCTTGACATGAAATCAACAGGGCTAAAAAATATATTAAGAAAACAAAACAGAACAAACTCAGCCCCCAAAAAAGGTATCTTTCTGTTCAGATATACAGAAATATTACATTGAGACATAAAAATCAGATGGGCTTAAGGAGAGAATGTCTTTCCATGAATATCAGCTCCCAGGCATTACTGAATACTCTCATATTAAGCAACTACTAGTCCCTTGGAGAGACTCTTGAGAAGGATAACTAAAATTAAAAAAAAGAACACACTCCCCCCAAAACCTAGAGAAATCTGACCTGGTAAAGGAGATGCAGAAACTGAAACTGTTCAGCCCAGAGAAAAGTTTTCCGAAGATGGAAAGTTGAATATTGGTGAACACCAGTTTGGACAATAAGAGGAAAGCTGGCAGAGTGTTTTCTGCATTAAGTCAATAAGGACAGGCCAAGAAGCAATGGACTAAAAGCAACAGACAGGCAACACATTGCCTCACTTTTTCCCTTCTCACAACCTCACCATTGCTATTGTGACACCTCCAAAATTTTTGCTGGTTAGGAAAGCACGGCTGTGTTCCAGCTGTAACTCTAAGAAATGGTGAGGGGAAAACAGGTGTGTAAATTTCTTGGGACAACAGCTTTCTTGGATGGTTTTTAAACTCTTATCTTCCGTGCTTTTAGTGGATTACAGTAAAAAGTTATGGTTGTTGATTTTATTGTTTTCTTCAAAGAACTGTTGGTGGAAAGCCAAAGTTCCATAGGTGAATCTGTGTTATGTTCAGGGATTTCTGTTTACTCTAAAGCAGATGGCTCTATTCTGCCACCAAGCCTCTGGCATCTCAGTAAATTGCATTCTTTGCATATTTTTGTGCATATAAAATGTGTTTAATAGGAGCCAGGGAAAACATATTTTTGTAAGCTTCACAGCAAGAATTTACACATTCACCTTCCTTCCTTCTGTTCACACACATTTGATTTATTTGCTCAGGAAACAGATATGGTATAGCAGTGTGTATGGCAAATGACATAGTGTAATGAACAGAAAATAATCAAGTATGTATCAAGGAAAGTAATTTTGAAAGAGGCTTAGTCTAAACCTCTTTTCACTTACAGCAACAAAATTCCTATTGACTTAGTGGTGGATCAGGACCATATAGCAACTGAACAATTTAACACAAATACATTTGGAAAAAAAAATCTTATTTATAAGTAACTGACAACTGAAGAATAGGTAATTTCACTGAATAAGTTATACCGCCTGAGTAATTTCCATATCCTTAATCGCTCCATTTTACCAATGTCTTGAATTTTTAAAGAAACTCTTGTTTTCTCTTTTTAAATACTCAACATATCTTCTCTATGATTCCTATCACTGAATGCTCTTTTCTCTTTCCACAAGCAAGGGTTTTCATTGTTTCATCCAGTCACCCTGAGGTCTCATACTTATCACTCTGAACCAGACCTGAAAGTCCCTGAGGAGAAAATCAGTTAAACATATATGTGGATCTCACAAAATTTAGTGGGATCACTCCCTTGATCAATGTTTAGTACGAATTCAAGTATACTGTTAGATCAGAACTTTTCTGAATTCATACATTATTCAAGAACTCCTCAGCGTGTCTTTTGAGTTACCTAGCTGGGGTAGTTTGTGATGAACAGGTTTAGAAGTTTACTGATGAGAGACGAAAAAGAAGAAAGGAGAAGACCCAGCTCACAGCTCACAGGAGCTGTGGACATCTATGCTTGACTGCACTGGAAATTCGGGGACAGCAGACGTGACAACAGGAGTAATAAGAGAGGTTAGAAAACAGCATGAATACATGTCCCCCAGTTGTCTAGGTTGACTGTGCCACAGTGAGGTTTAAGAGAGATGGAAGTTGATGAATATGGTCTGATTTCGCCCAAAGGGCAGGAATTACCAAAACTGTGTTGAAGCATGAGTTTCTATGAGTATACCTATAAAAGTGCTGGCTACAAAACAGAACACACATTCTATGATTATCTTTCAAATAACCACAAAAAACAGGGACCAGAAGTCAATCAGGTTCAATGGAACTGATGATACCATACAGCTAAAGATGTTCTCTAGAAACACAGCACTCTCACCTGACTCCTACCTTCATTCACACATGCCTTGGGTAGTGGGCTATATAGGAAGCAACAGAAGCTTACAACTGTGATTCAGGGCCCTTAAGAACTATCTTGACCAAGTTACTTCATTTCCTTGTGTATCAGTTTCACTTCCAAATAATGAGGGCAGTGGCACTTGCTTAAAGGATTGGGAGGGAAGGGTAGAGAAGATGACAAACAGCAACACAACTAAGTGAATTCGCGGGTTCTGATCCTTTCAGCTACTTTATTGAAGATGTCATTGCGTCCATAGACAGGGAACTGCACCTGATGCTCCAGCCAGTCCCTATTTGATCCCATGCTTCTATCTACCAGTAAAGGTTCTAGAGGAAAACTTTTCATCTGGTAAGGTCATTGCTTGCAAAATTTATTTGGCAGCAGAGTTACACCTTTTAGCTAGCAATTAGACACCCAAGGCTAAACTAAAGGGCAAAGGTTGCCTGGCTTAATCCCTACCCTCCAGCTTTGCAACACCGGGTGAATAAATGTCGTAAGAACTGCACAAGCTTATGTTTATTTATAATACTACATACCCAGCAACTATAACCTGGAGCACTCCAGAGTGGAAGGATACATTTTTATAATGCCTGTTTCTTCATTAAGATTTCATCATCCACCTACACTAAAAAGCCACTTCCCCTTCACTTTGTTATATCTGCTTTTACCCGCTCCTCTTCCTGCATTATTTTTTTAATCTCCAGTTCCCTACTTTACATGCACTCTCAAATTTTAAACAAGCAAAATTTGTGCATTAGTGTGTCCTTTTCATCTATGATTTATGAATGACAGGTTCTTCGGTGCAGCTTAATGGTATGAGAGAGATATTATTTTAAACATTAAAGTGAAAACCATTTACAACTATGATAAGAGAGGTCTGTTGACATTAAACTTTAAAACATGCACAAGGTAAAGGCAAGTAGCTGTTCCAACAGGTGAGAGTACTATGCATGTGGTTTGTAAGGGAGTTTGTTCAACACATGAGCTGTCTCTTCCTTTTCTCTGTTTCACTGGTATGAGAGAGATATTATTTTAAACATTAAAGTGAAAACCATTTACAACTAATATAAGAGAGGTCTGTTGACATTAAACTTTAAAACATGCACAAGGTAAAGGCAAGTAGCTGTCAACAGGTGAGAGAGTACTATGCATGTGGTTTGTAAGGGAGTTTGTTCAACACATGAGCTGTCTCTTCCTTTTCTCTGTTTCACAACCTGTAGGATTTGGTGCTTCAAACAACTCAGCTGGTAATCAGCAGCCACCAGAGTTTAATAACTAAAAAGTACTTAGAGCACAGTGCAGAGCATTCTTTCAAAAAAATTACCATTCCGTCCAAGGAAAACTTTTCCTACCATTTACATCAGCAAGAAATAAATTTAAAAAAATAAATAAATAAGTTCAAAGATCTAAAGCTTTATTTTGATACTTCTGCCCACACTTATATCACTTTCACACTGGACAGTCACTTCCTTACCATCCTCTTCCATTAAAGCTGTACAATTCGATTGTAAGATATTGGCTAATAATTATCTCGCTATACTCGGTTCAGTTCTGTTCAGCAGCAACTGCTTTCTGAGAAGCAATCAACATAATTAGGAGTAGTAAATAAATACATCTGTATTTTATATCATATGTGTTTGGATTGAGTGCTGTTCCTAACAGTGTTAGACACATTGATTGAACAGCAGAGAATACTAGGAAAGAACAGGGATATGGGACCTCATAGAACTGCTTTTCAGTCTGATTTTAGACCACAGGGAGAATGTGCAGCAGATATCTTAGGGTAGAACTGTTGCAAACATGGTACAGCTCAGAAAATGGGGAGGATACATGCAGAGATGAACTTTTTGCTTGTGACTTTGGAGTCACGCAACTCCCTCAACAGCTTGGATGAGGGTGGCAGAACCTTATTGATAAAGCAGACCTCCCGCAGCAAGAATGAGAACGCATATCCGGGGCACTGATGGCAGCTGAGAAAACTCTGATTTTATAATAAAAGGGTTTTTAAAAGTGATTTTCATGCAATACTGTGTTTTTAATTGCCCCTATTCATTCAGCTACCCTAATCAGCAGTGGTGAAACAGAATACTTGCCTTCATGCTGCCATTTGAAATTTTAAAGTGAGTAGGGAACATTGATCACTGATGACAGAAAAGCCTAGTGAATCATTCAAGGACTTTACGTTACTGACCCATAGAATCTAAGACCCAACCTCCAATCTATTTTTATAAAAATGCAAATATCCCTTAAGTATCTCTCAAGTATTCAAAAACAATCCAAGTATTAACTTGCAATACCCATCAAGAGCAACATTTCATTGGAAAAAGAGATCACTGGGTTTAAAAGAGAGAGAGAAAGTGAAACAAACAGGCAAAAGAACCTATTAGAAAAATGCTAAACATAACTTACCTTGTAGATTTTGCAATGGCAAAGTCATGATGCCTCCTGCTGCAGCTGCTGCTACCAGCCCTTGGATGTTGGTGAGATTTGCTGTAGGTAGAGTTAGGACGAGTCCTTGTTGGCCCCCCAGCTGCCCAGCCATGTTGAAAGGAATAAGGATCGGCTGATTCAGGGCTGGAGTGCCTCCTGGCATCACCCCCGCTACTGCTGAGGCTAACTGTTGGGCTGTCAGTAATGGCTGTAACAAAACACAGACAGCAAGCCTATTTTACTGTGCATAGCTCACTATTACACACTCACAACTCTTCTGGCTTGGGATCCTTTTGAGTTCCATTACAGACGTGCACTGCTTCCAATATCTTAAAGAATACATTTTCACCAACACAGAAAGTTTTGGCAAACTTGACAGGCTGAAGCTGTAAGCCTTACAGTCATGTAGCATGGTAGCAATCCCAGTTGAATCTAGACTGGAAAATGCATTACACATGCACCAAAGATAATTTATGAACACAAGAAGGCCTAACTCAAGTCAGCCTACAAGTACCTAAATGCCAGCATTTCCCAAATTTTCCCAGTTGTACACCAATTTGTAAAAGCTGAAAACACTACAGTAACAATTACCAGAAGCTATGTGGAACAAGACTGTCCTGGGAAGAGGAAGAACACTGAGTATCTTCTTAAGAGTATGGCTGAACTCAGATAAAACTGTGAAGTGATATGGGAAATCTTTTAAAATGTTATACAGTGCCATACTATCATGCCTACATTTTGCTCTAAAGAAAATAAATACCTGGCATAAAAGATAATGAAATGCCTAATGCAGGAGCTGTGTGTGACAGGCAGAACTGTCAGAGCCAATAAAGTTGCATTAAAATTGCACAAGCTCTTTAATATTAAATTATGACACGTATTTCAAAAATAACTTATATAAGAAATTCAAATAATTTAACCGCCTAAATATGCAAAACTGCTTAGGTTTTTTTTTAGAAAAACATACAAAAAGCTAATCTTTCCAAACAAATAACTTTTAAAACATATACATGATACATACACGCTCCTTTTTTGTAACACTAAATGCAGCCAAACAGAAGCACATTTTCTACATTACACAGATCAAAGATGATCAATCGCAGTTATTTACTTTTCATCAAATTGCACGTCTCGATTAGTTGAAAGGAAAGATACTGACCTGAGGCCCAACAGGGAACGCAGGATGGGACTGACTGGGTTGGTGCTGGTCTGCTGGGCTTGTGTCAGGCAGCACTGTGTTTCCTCTGGCCTCTGAAATCCAAAGAGCAGATTGACTTTAATATCAAGCCTGGGGACTGGCACATTACCTTCTACTCTGATGTCACATAACATCAAGCTGAAAATGATATGTTAAAGTGCTTTATCAATAACTCAAGCACTCAAATCACTTATCAGCTGCATAAATTATGCTAACATTCATTCAGACCAGCCAACTCATTCAAGGAGCTACAAAAATCTGACAGCAGTGAAACTGAAGCTATCATCAACCCAGCTAATGTGGGTTGCATTATACATCAATTTACATACAGTACATGAGCACTCCGCGTGTGTGGGAACTGCATTTTTTACGCTTAGGTGAGCATCAGCCATTCTAATTTCTGAAAGCAAAAATTATCTGAAAAACAATCAAGTCACATCTACTTTGTATCTTAATAAAGTATTTTCTTTTGTCAGTTACTGAGGCAGCAAAGGCTGTACTAGGTGCAATAAAAAGGCACTATGAAAACTGAAAACAGGTATGCTTCCAAATGACAGCTTGTTTTCTAAATTGCATGTGCGGGGTGAGCAAAATTCTGTGAAACCAAGGATTTCCAGCATTTATTGAGATGATCAATATCCAACAATCGAACTATATGCTGGGCACTAATGACTTGCTAAGCACAGAACACAGTCCAGCCCTACTGGATTTCGCTGAAGTCTGCAATACAGATTTGAAAAGGAAAAAGAAAAAGAAAAACGTCCTATCAGTCATAAGAAAGTACCAAGATGTTTTCAAAACTACGTCCCAATCCTCCATTTCCTCCGGGTGAAGGACTCGCATTGATTCACAAAGTTTTTCAGCGCTGATGGCACGATCAGGCCCACATTTATCTTTGAAGCTGAAAGAATGACAGCAAGTATCAAAAGTAGCTGCAAGAGTACTGTGGTCTCTTAAAAAGGCAACCCTGGCAACGGCGTCAGGTTTCCTGGTTGGCACGATAGCTCCTGTTCTGTTATTTTTTTCTGATGAGCAGTTGAAATCCCGTTCTAAGTAAACCTTAACGAGATGCTCTTTTCCAATGTTTGTCCTATGAATAGCAAGTGCAAGATAATTCAGAACCAGTTTATTGGCACACTCTGGCACGGTAAGGAAAAAGGATACGATTCTGTCATATTTATAAATTTTAAAGAGGGCATTATCAGCTCATTTAAAACAAATTCTTCTATATATTCTCCAAGGGGACAGACTTATAAATAATGGAAATGTGAAAAAAAAAAATACTTCAGCACATTAAGGTACAAATAAAATTGACTGCTACATATTATTCAATTGACTTCTATCTCTACAGCAAAGTGTCAATCATAACAGCATTTTAGAATAGGATTAAACAATAAATGTGCAGAGTTATTATGCAGAAATCTGAAAATCTGATTAATTTGTAATATTTTTGTGTGGTCTCAAAAAGTCAGAAATGGACGTTGCTTTGGGAATACTTACAAACGGTCTATTGAAATATCTGATTTGGAACTAATAAAAACATACAGACTTGCTGGTGTCAATCATAACAGCATTTTAGAATAGGATTAAACAATAAATGTGCAGAGTTATTATGCAGAAATCTGAAAATCTGATTAATTTGTAATATTTTTGTGTGGTCTCAAAAAGTCAGAAATGGACGTTGCTTTGGGAATACTTACAAACGGTCTATTGAAATATCTGATTTGGAACTAATAAAAACATTCAGACTTGCTGACATTTTATAAAGTGAATTCTATAAAAATATGTTTGGAATTTTAATGAGCACTGTCGTTTAATAATGAGAATAACCTGACCTACTATGATCGGTGAGGACTCCAATAATTGCCTAATAACATGCAAAAAGAGACCCAGTCACTAAATTTTTTATGTGCAATTTACTCATCTGAGTTGCTTGAAAAGAAAGAAATGTAACTAGATACGCGAGATTCAGTGAAAACTCTTTCTTTCAAATGCATTACAATCCTACTGCTGCTGCCATCCCTAAGACCAAAGATAGGTTTTCTTCAGTATGGGTTCCTCCTATACAAAATAAAGTGCTATGTTACTAAACACAATTTTACCTTTGGTAATTTCCACATATTGTTACGGGTTTTTTTTAATCTTCTCATCACAGCTGTATGTGTAAAGTGATATTAGATCAAAGGCTCAATACCAATGAATATATCACTCCCCATTAAGATCAAATCTTATAAATCAATTTTGTTTATGTAATTTTAAGGGCTGAGAATTTTGTCTTTGTGTGTGATTTAATTAATATTAAAACAAGCTCCTGATACTCTGTCACATCATTAAATTGTCCTATGAAAGCTTTGGGAGAAGAACAAAACTGGAGTCAAATATTCACTAGAATTAGATTTTATTGCAATTACTATAGCCTGAGCTCTCAGAAAATAAATAAGAAGTTCTGAAGAAATATGCCTATGCTTTAGTATTTTTTTCCATGGTGCAGCTATCCTAAGAACCACTGTTTTCTGTTATCTGTACCCTAAGGATTTTGCAGTATTTCATCTCACAAGCTGTATGTAGTACAAGTGGGTTATACAGGACCATAAAGCCAAAATTAATTACACTCCTTTCCTTTTGCATTGTACTAATTGGAATCACTTAGGATTACATTCTTTCATATGGTCACTCATCACAGATGATGTATCTTTTTATTTCGGTGCTCAAATGCTCTGCCTGCTGTTTCTAGCACACTTTCCATATGATGCAGGCATCTCAGCAAAACAGCACACGCTTTCACGTGCATGAATGTGGTCTTACATGGCACCCTATATGAAATTATACATGCTCTATTCTCAGACCGAAATTCTCACGTTTCCTCTCATGACCCTTCCAATCTACCTGCTCTAACAGCCACTCGAGTCAAGACTTTTTTCAAAACGCACAGGAAAATCTGCCTGCTGGGCTGGCAGAAAATACAGCAAAGCGAGGATTTCAGGGTTAAGTTCTGTTGCATCACACACAGTGACAGCATTTATTCCTTGCTGTACACTGTCTTCAGCGAGACGCACAGGTCAAAGCTCCCAGGAAGGCGAAGCAGAGCACAAAACCCTGGTAGAAGGCTGCTTTTCCTTTTCTGCCTTTTAATGTTGACCGGGTGGATTCCTCTGATTTCAGAGGATCTGAGGAGTCGGGAGAGCTCTGTGTCACAGCTACTATTTCTGATTCACAGACTCATTGCTACTAATTTGGAAAAATACCTTCATTAAGACCATTGCCCTAAACTGGCAGCGCACAATCCCCTGCATTGTTTTTCCCCTCTGTTTTACCACCTTTATTTGGGAGTTCATTTGTTCCAGATGCTGGAATGACCTCTGCAGGTAAATTATTCCCCTGTCCAAATTCCAGTCCTCACTAATAAAAATGGCCTGTCAAAATCTAGCCTAGATTTTCCACTTGTCCAGATCCAGGCCATTACCTCCTGTTAGGCTATCCTCCAACACTGCTCAGCTTTCTATCAGCGAGGGGTATGGTGGCAAGGAACCAGGACTCATAGCAGTCCCTATGGAGCTGGGGAGCTACCAGCAGCACCTTCTCTGTTCTCACTTATGCTTTGGAGATACTGTACTCTCATTACACCTCTGATTGCTGGTGCACAAGGGGCAGGGAGAAGGCAGTAACAGGGCATCGACTCTGGAAAGAGAAGTAATTCTCCTTAACACCGTTTGCCTAGGCAGGGAGCTAAGACTTCTCTTATAACTGAGCACTGCCATCACAGCCTAAGTCAATGAGTTTGCTCAGTAGTACCGTATGAACAGACAGGAGTGCTACTGCCATGGTATGGCCATGACTGTAGACAAGGCTTTAATATTTAATAAGCGGTATTCATCATATGTGATTCATCATAAATTAATTATAAATTATATAATACATACACTCACCTCTCATCCCGCCAAGGGGCTGGAAGGGCATGACACTATAAAAAATTGAAGTGCACTGTAAACATTGTAAAATAACCCTCTTAAAATAAAACATTATTTAAAATAAAGCTAAGTAAAACAAAGGCAACCTTCTTAACAGACAGGAGTGCTACTGCCATGGTATGGCCATGACTGTAGACAAGGCTTTAATATTTAATAAGCGGTATTCATCATATGTGATTCATCATAAATTAATTATATAATATATAATACATACACTCACCTCTCATCCCGCCAAGGGGCTGGAAGGGCATTAAAAAATTGAAGTGCACTGTAAACATTGTAAAATAACCCTCTTAAAATAAAACATTATTTAAAAAAGCTAAGTAAAACAAAGGCAACCTTCTTCTCCCCTTATCAAAGAGAAAAAAAAAAAAATCCCAAACCATTGCACTGTAAACATTGTAAAATAACCCTCTTAAAATAAAACATTATTTAAAATAAAGCTAAGTAAAACAAAGGCAACCTTCTTCTCCCCTTATCAAAGAGAAAAAAAAAAAAATCCCCCAAACCATGCAAAAAACCTTGTTGAACTATACCTGGTTTAAAAATGAGAAAACCACAAGAGAAACATCAGAAAGAAAAAAAATTCCACATCCCAAGGCCTCCTCGCCTCCTCATACAAAATTACAGCTGTAAACGCACTAGTTATAAACAGGCTTTCCACTGTTTGCTTCCTTTTTGTTTCTTACACATCTTCAGCAACACAACAGGTAACTCAGTTCTAAATGTCTTTATCTGCAGTGCCCCATGAAGGAGGGAATGCTCTAATACGCACTTTACAAAGGAGCAACTAATGGACAGAGGGACTCTGATCCAGATTCTCAAATCAGCACCATTTAGGCACCTACATCTCCTCAGCTGTAGTTACACTGTTCAGGAAAGCATGGGTCAAAACACAAAACTGCTCTGTGACTCCTTGGCTGCTCCAGGGCTACCAGCAGCTCTGGCAAGGTGAACCTGCACGTGCTCCCCAGCACCCTGCACTCGGATGCACTGCCCGTTCCAGCGGCCCTTGTCTCACATGATGTCCGATGCTTGCAGGGAACCTGCAGCTGACTGGCAAATGTGACTATGCTGAAGAGCAT